TGTGTGTGTGTGTGTGTGTGTGTGTGTTGGATATGGTCAGTACCAGTTGCAGGTATTATCATGGAACGCAAAGTTTCTGACTTTGATGTTGCTACAAAACCTTGACATTAAGATGCATTTCTCCTCATTATCCCCACTGCACGAAACGTGGGATTTACCGATGATAGTAAATGCCTGTTAACTCTGGTAATGATTCCTTTAGGCGACAAAGGCGACAGTACAGGTAAACCCCATCTTTTTGTGAATCCTGCCTTTCTTGTGGACAAAGGGCAGTGTTATCACATAAAACCTTATAGAACTCGTTATCACCGAATACGGGAGAGACATTCACGCAGTAGCTTACAGGTAATACCTAGAGTTTGATACAAAGGGATCAATAAAAAAACAGAGAGTTTCACATATAGCAGTAGATTCCAGATAAGTCTGCTTGGCAGGTCCGGTAGTATCAATAGGTGCTATACAAGCTTGATAACCTTTGGATAAGGCATCAAATGCTAAAACAGCCCTAGCCTGGTATTCATCAGTGCTGTTAACTGTAAGTCCCACTGATCGTTGCGTGAAGGTTGTGGCATTGTACTGGGACTATTGCTGGCCGTAACCACTAAAAGGCAGATTTCCGTCTTTGCGTGTGTCGACTTTGCTCCTCCAGCGACCAAGACAGATTGACGGACTTGGTAAGTAGGTAGGTGCTAGGTACTTCTACATGATTTTGTAAACATAAGGCACAAAGAGCATTGCTTACTTCTTGCCCGGAGGCTGCCTCTAGAAGCACCCCCTGATGTTCGTACCGCCCTGAGCCAGTGCTAGGGTAGAAGCCGTCCCCGCATGCGGCAGACTCCAGATACTTTCTGGGAAAAGCTTGGTCAGCCTTGGCGCCGAAGATTTGCTCGATCAGGGACTTTGCTTCGTCGTAACTGGAATATAGGGAAAAGCCAAACAAATACTTTTTACCTTCTCCCTGCTGCTTAACCCTCTGTAACTGTTACAAGTTTAGTGCCAAAAGGCTACTTTAGCAAAGGGGTACAAGCCCAGGTACCCTGGAACTCCATCCATCCATCCACCCATCCATCCATCCATCCATCCATTCATTGGCCCCATAGCTAGTCGGTAGCCATAAGGGCACCATAGCGTTTAACTAGAGATTACCACCTCCTGCGATCCTGTGCCAGTCTGGCCAGCTCGTGTAGGGTTTTTGCCAACCACTCTCTTAGATCACTGGACGCCCCCTAGGTGCCACTGGAACTACCTCTATCTCTTTTTACTCCAGAGTTTGCCCACCAGTGGAAACGTACCCGTTTTTTGATTACCTGGTAGCCTTCCTTGATGAACTTAATGATTGCCTTCTCCCTGCTGCCTTACCCACTATAACCGTTACAAATTTCGTGCCAAAAGGCTACTTTAGCCAACAGCTAAAGCCAGATGCCCTGGAACTAACTTTACCTTTTTTGTTTACCCAGAATGTTCCGTACATGTAACGTACCCGTTTTTGATCGCCGTGTAGCCTTCCTTGATGGACTTGACGATCTCAGCTGTCTCCTTGTACGCATTCAGGAACATGTTGGGAACTTTGCGCACTTTGTTCAGGGGACCGAGGAGTCCGTCTAACAAGTCTTTGAACTCGGTCTTTATCTGCTCTTTCAGTGCTTTCTGGAAAGAGAAACCAAAAAACACAGTTTAAAAAAAAGAACGATATCATGTGTAACATTGGATGTAAATGGATGACCACTCATAGACTAAACGTCAATATCATCTTTTTTTGTATGTATCTAGTAAGTTTGACATGTCCGCGCTTAGAGAACTGTTTACCGCTCCAGAACTGTTCTCAGCGCGGACCAATTCCCCTGGCATATAATCTGTCTATGTGGTCAATTTCTACTCTTTCCATCTGCTTCCCGAAGGCTTGTAGAGGCAATGCTACACATTCTATGAAGTGTCTTACAAAGGTTTCCTACTGACTTGTAGTTACAATTCTATTCTTTGGTTACAGTGCTGGTCTTTTTTACCGTCTTTACTCATCGAACACCAGTGTTCAGTCTGTACTTAAGTGGGATGCCTTCTATCGCAACTCATACTTCACAAACCTCTGGATATGTCTGTATTTATAGGGTATGATTCTTATGTTTTGTATGTATTTCGGTTGTGATCAATCATACACTGTCTAACTCTTGGGCCACTGAAAGCCTGAAACAAATAAGCAAAGTGACTCACAATGTCGACTCCAAAGAAACGTTTGTTGAAGGCCTTGGACTCCGTTTGTTGCACTACCCAGTTGTTCATATCCCTCAGGGACTTGAGCGCCGCGGAGATGTCTTCGGAGATCTGTGAGAGTTCGTCTTTTAGGTTCATCCAGTGCAGTGTCTTGTCTGTAATACATGAGAAAATGATACTTATTAAGATGATCACAAAAAATTGTTATTCAAGCAGCCGGATAAAACTGTCATGTCGTTTCAAGTAGTATCCTGGCATCCACTACCAGCTGTGACGAAAAGTAAGGAATGCTACTTGTAACGTCTGGCACATTTCAAAATTTATCTAGTTGCTCGAGTAACAATTCCGTTTGTATCTCATTACCTGGATGCCTAACCTTCACCAACGTATTCAGATGACTCCTTGGGGTACAAGACCTATTATGGTCCCGAAGAAGACTCCCCCCCTCCTCCAAACCGAGTAATTGTTAAAAATCCAGACATACCTTCCTTGAACAAGAGAGCCTTTTCGATACGCTCTTTTGCCTTGATGACACCTACCACGGCATTCTTGATCCTGAAATAAAAGTGAACCCCGATGAGCATAAACACAGAGCATATTTCACGTTTAGAAACTAACCCGGTATTCATGCGGTCGAGTGGCGTAGCGGCAGAGTGCTCTACTCGGAACCACGAGGTCCCGGGTTCGAGTCCTGATATGCCACTGATCTTGTGCCCTTGGGAAAGGCACTTTACACGACTTTCTTCACTTCGCTCAGGTGAAAATGAGTATTGTATTGTCCCCTGTGTTGATGGCGGCATTAATATGAGTTGAAAAAACTTGAGTGTACCGTCACCACGTCTTGTGATTAGATGTTCGAATATTAAAAAATGGTTTTTCTAAGGCTTACCGGCGGTACATACAGCCCAATGCTACTTACGTAGTGAGTCCTTTGAAGATGTCTGAAATAGCCGTCTTTGGTGTCTTGATCAGTTTCCCGACGGAGGACACCACCATCTTCACACCGCTCTCAATCTGTTCAGCAGCCCACGGCAGGGTGATGGTGACGGCATCGGAGATGGACTGTAAGCAGGAGAATATATGTAGATTTTTTGTCAATGAATCGTCGCCAGTAAGCCCTGGTTCTCCTATTGGGTCAGTTAGTCCTCACTACTTGTGAGAAATTGGGCTGGTCTCAATCATGATGTTTTTGAGGGAGAATGGTTGTTACAGTTCTACTCGGTAACCCGTAACCCAGGTGAGTGGTCATACCATTCAGGTGGTAGCACCATTCACCTTAAGTGACCTAAAGGCCGTGTTACGTGGCGACCACTGAGTAAAAAAAAGTCCAATCTGTTTCAGGTGGAGAGATGCAAGAATAGGAAAGGCAAGAGCAACAATTGGATATAGTCTGGGGATCATCGGAATTAACCTCCAGCACTAAGATCAGATCTTCAACACCATGGTAAAACCTGTCCTACTGAAACTTGGCTTATCACAACAGGCACAACAAGGAAAATACAAATGTCCAACAGCACCTGCCTTTAGTTAGGAAAATCCTAAGAATCCACTGGCCCAACACCATCAGAAACGAAGAACTCTGGCAATGCACAGAGCAGTTACCAAATTAGGTTAGAAACATAGTGTAGCGTAGCGGTAGAGTGCTCGATTCGGAACCAAGAGGTCCCGGGTTCTAGTCCTGACATGCCACCGACCTTGTGCCCTTGGGAAAGACACTTAACACGACTTTCCTCACTTCGCTCAAGTGAAAATGAGTATTGCATTGTCCCCTGTGTTGTTTTCGGCATTATACAAGTTGAAAAATCTTGAGCCGTCACCACGTCTTGTTATTATCTGTTGGAAGATAAAAAGAACAAGCTCTGTTATACTTACATTGTAGAACTCCATGACGTCAGCCTTGACGTCACCGAGGAGCGTGCTGACGCGGTGGACCACTTGTTTGACGTTCTCCACGGTCGGCGGCAGGTTGGTGTACTCCCCGACCTTCTTGGTGAACTCTTTGGCCTTGACTTTGAACTCCCGCACCTGGTTGGGAAGGTTGTCCGCCGCGTCCACGATGTCTTTGAAGATGCCGTCTATGGAACCTGTCGTACTATTAAAAGATCATCGATAAGGAGTGAAAAATCACATAAATTGTCTTATGCTTAGGTCACAATTGGAAGAGGGAACCCTGCCACGTAGTTGCCGGGTTGATTTTTTAGCACATTTAGGCGTGATCCCTTTGTGGGCCTGCGGGACACCCTGTAGCTACCTGCCTGTTTTCAGCCCGACCGGAACCGGAGAAGAATTTAGTTATGACTTAAATTCTACCCGGGCCTCGCTGACAAATAGACACCGTGACCTAACCGTGAGAACACCGACAGGTACACCTCCAGTTGCCAGCAGTCCAACGGGACAAATTTGTCGACGGGCACCGACGCAATTGGGACCTAAGCATTACACCATTTACTGACATCGATGGAAGTTGTAGCTCTTCATAGAGTGATATAGTTACAGGTTCTTCACCCGAAAAATCCACATTCTACAAATTTATTACTTACGAAAGGTTGCATACCTGCTTATTGCCACTTCATATTGTTGTGGCGTTACTCGCCAGTACACGAAATATCCTTACCTTCCCAGAAGTTTCTTGAAACGAATGATGTTGTTCTTCACGTTTCCAATGACCTTGTTGATCACGCCGTCAAACAGTTTAACCAGTTTGAAAACCTCGTCGAAGTTGAACTCCTGTCGAGTGAAATGATATATAAAGATTCAACATTTGTAAGGTAGGCTATAAACATCTAGATGTATACATACTATATACATGGGTGTCAAAAGCTTAGGCTTTCTTAAGATATAACTGTGCAGTTCCCCGGTACAGTTACCGGGCAAAAGAAAAAGCTGGCAAACTCATACGTCAACCGCGACGAAGACCGACATTGTCTACCAGATACCTTTGACCCAGTGTTAACGTCAAAGAAGCCACGTGACAAGTCTCACTGGGTCAGTCTACCGAGGAAGACCAGAGTGACTGGTCAAAAGCTCTAGGTGAGAGAATTTTTTGTGTTGGATCAAAAGTTTTAACTTTAAACATACCTGGAAAATGTTGACTTCGTATCCCGCCTTTCCTTTGAAACAGATTCTGGCATCCAGGAATGTCCAGTCGATGCCGAGTAGTCCCACGTGTATCTTCGCGTACGCCTGATCCAGAACGTCAACCTCGAACTTGCCCTTCAACGGTTCTGTTAAGGAGCAAAGCAAAGTTTCTCCATCAGTTTATCTGTAAGAAACCTAGACAGCTTTCTACAATTAGCTTCCTTCATAGGCGTTACGGTTGGCGTTCTGTTTTGAGAGGGGAGGAATCTTCTGATCGCACGCACAACGCACACGCTCAGAACTCTGGCCACCTTCGCTAGTATGCCTTCCCTGGAAGGAGGCAAATGAGGCTGTGTGGCGTGTTCATGGACCAGATTACAGTGTTGCTCTTTGCCTTATCTTATCAATGTCCAAATGTCACAGCCTTTGACAAAGGTAGTAACTGTGTGCATATTTGATAACTAGCTCCATACAATGAGGAAAAAATGAGGAAACTGCAAAACAAGTTTTAAATGCAGGCGATCATGTTTGAGTTTTCAGCCTGAAAGGCTAGACGGGGACGGGGATGTTCAGAGAGAGCCAGAATAGCCCAGAAAGGCCAGCAGGCGAGGAAACTTGTCACTGCTGATCCGTTTGGCTGAATAAGTATCTGAAACTAGCCCAAACAGAATGAACTATGAATGCATTAATTAATTGATTGATTGATTGATTGATTGATTGTTTAATTAATTGATTGGTTGAAGATAATTGATGAGCCTTGCACTCACTCAGATTCAGTTCCATCATGTTCCGAATGATGATTCCCAAAGACGCCCCGATCTGGCTGGATCCGATCTTCTTCTGCCAGTCGACACTCGGCGTCTCCAGTTTGAAGTCGAAACCCTTAAACAACTTTTCTAGCACCTTTCTAACAGCAGGCAAACCCCGCTTTTCTCGTGCTTCTGCAATAGCCGTCTGGTTCGTGTAACTGGAAACAGTCAATACTCAAAGCATCACTGTTAATATATAATGAATACAGTAAATGACATGGAAGGCTGTTGAAAACAAACTGTCATAGAAAATAGACATCATTGATTGAGTAAGTACTTTTGATGCAACAAATTACAAAGTTCACATGAAGAAAAAGAAACTATTTAAGGCATCCAAAAACAAACTATGCATTGGTCCAGATACATTCAAATAAAACATGTCTCCTACTAGATACTATCCTTAGTAACCTGTTGTTACTTACCTGTTGTTGATTTGTTGCTGAGCCTCCCACAGTCTGGAGGCCCGTGGGTGACTCAGGTAGTCCAGAGCTGCTGCGTACCGCACGTTACCGTCAGGGTCTTCTATTGCCACACGTAGGATCTCGTCTGCCGCCTGTTCAAAAACGGAATTTGATCATTTGATTTGGCAGAGATTACTACCTTCTTAATAAGAAAGGAGAGTAATAAGAAGATTAAAACGCAATACGGACAGCTCCTTTTAACCTTAGACACTATTGGTGATCTTTTTGGCTTTTGCACACATGTTTAATATGTCTTATGTTGGCTTCTCGATTTTAGTCAGATACTACCACCTATGGCTGTCTTGCCGGTCTGTGTAACATCAGCCAGGTTGAAAGCTCTTTGGTGACATAATTACATAACATACAGATTGAAATATAACTCATACATAACTGCATGCGGAAGTTTGAGTGCAGTTGAACCTCTCTGCATAAAGTGAACAAAGATGCACGTTAATGCAGTAAATAATGGCTTAAAGTTTTTGCGTACTTTCTCATGGTCATAGCTTTTCAGCGCAGTCATACTGGTTCTCTTCAGCTCAGAAGGTGCTTCAGTAGTGTTCATGTATGACAGAAGGAGGTCATAGGACCTGTCCATTCCAGCGTTGCCCAGGGCGCCCAGGATCGTAGCCTTCTCGTGCAGGTGACTGTTGTACTCATCTTCTGTCAGGGTGGATCTGAGCTGTCTGTGCTTCCAGGGATCTGTGAATGCATGGTTACGACATTACCAAAATATCTTCATGCTTGAGCATATGTAGTTGAAGATTCCGCATCCAGACAAACCAGTATTTGTTATACCTTGTAAATCACTGTAATTGGTAAAATGTGCATCCTAAGTTATTTCTTTCTTCAGTTGTAGCGATTCAATGTCTAGCTTAGTTCTGCCTTACATAATGCATATCCATACGACCTTCAGTTCGTCAGATTCTCGTAATATAATAGACCTTTTGATTTGTTAACATTCTGTAACTTACTGATCATGAAGTCGTGACTTTTTAAAATCTAGATTACGGATTCGAAGCAATATAGCTTCGTGAAGCTTCGCTTTGAGAAACAGGATGAGTTTGGTTACCGTGAATCTCCACCATCCCGTGGAATCTGTCGATGATCTTGTCTGCCCGTGCCGGGTCGGTGGCGTAGATGTTTCCCGCCAGAGTCCCGAGTAGCAGGTGTGCCCGGGTCCACACGTGTAGCCCCTCCTCCTCATCTGGGGCAACAGAAAAATAGACTATAGTTGGAAACTACTATGACTTGTGACCAATGGTAAAATCATCATCATCCGTCGTCCCTGTCGGGAGGGGAGGGGGTTAGCTGCTGCACAACGACACTCCAAAGGTATCTGTCAGCCATGGTTGATTTAAGATCTAGATATATCAAATCCCCTATCTCTGGAGATGGTTCTTGGGTAGGTCAGTTTTGTAAAATAGAAAGCATTGCAGTCCTGTCTCCAACCCTGGAATCTTGGAATCTCAAGACATTTTTTATAATTTGTCGATGAGGAAGAATATGAAGGTGTATGTAGGCTTTAGAGATGACTTACCGTCAAACTCCATTCTCCACTTGAAGCACATGTTCTCCACAGTTTCAATGGTGATCTGTAGACAGAGTCATGTATCGGCAGGATGTTAGCATAGCTCGAATTTATGAGAGTTACATTAATTAGTCCTTGGGCCAGAACCCTAAATTTCATATATTTCTACATGTATTAAAGTATTTTGGAACAGAATGGACTATTTTATGGTCCAATTCTTTTGATATGAATGAATGATAGTAAGCAATGGGTATAGCAACATTTCACTATCTACACCTTCTACAAGGCGAATTCTTGAACACCTCAATCTTTGGTTGATAACTCTGGTACTTGAAGGCAATTGGTTATTTCTAAAGACCTGCGGTGGCGGACATTCCAGTCCAAAGAAGTGAAAAAGCGCCCTCATGACCAGCTTAGCATCCTTCTGCCGGGGCGTCAGGACCAGTCTGGTCAGCAGGGTCAGGGAATCGTTGGTTGCCATGGCACCCAGTGCGTCAGCGATGGCGTCACGGTTCTCTATGTCGTCATCAGATGTCGTGTTGATCGCTATGTAGGTGTCGGCCACTCTTGTGAGGTTTTCCGGCGAGAGGTGAAGCAGTGCCTCCACGATGTGACGGAAACACGTGATCCTTTCTTGCGATTCTGTAGCAGTTCAAGGTACAGTTCTTGGCCGTGAATGTCGTTTGTCAAATGTATGTCAGTGATAAAGAATGAAGGATACATTTATTAGACATCCATCATCAATATCACATGCAATAACAATTTACTTGAATCAAAACTGTGGCACTATCATAGCTATGTTATTGCATTCTTCAGACACGGTATCTAAGTCGATGGCTAACCTTTTGGCCTGACGGTTCTCATACAAGTCAGGTTACCCACGATGGTTTCTTCCTGGTCGTCCATTGTCAGGATACGTACTGGTGGCTGAAAAACAGAGTAAACAAGAATGCATTATTTAAGTCCAAATATCCCAGCTAATTATTGATGAAATATATTGATCAAATTCTTAACAATTTGTCCAGTTCCATGTATAGTGCTTCCCAACAGAGTACCCCGTCCCAAGACATTGACATGACTTAAATATTGCGTTCTAAGAGAGAGCAACAAAAATAAGTTTACCTCATCTATCACAAGGGAGCCATGCTTGAAACTTGTAGGGACGCCTTCGTACACGTCTAGTTTGTCAGCTGGTATGACCTGTAGAAGCTTCAGATGCCCGTCAGATTCAGCGTTCATCGGCGGTATTTCTGTGTTACACATGGGATAGAACACAGTATGGTATAACATCAGATGCTTGTATTGCCATGTTGCTTTGATACGTAAAGAGAATCATAATAAGGGCATTAGATTTAACAGTGAAGGAAATGTCACTAAACTTCAATCAATCAATCAATCAATCAATATCCTTTATATATACTGGAAATGCCCTGTCGGCCTTAGCCGCTCTTCCCAGAGGTCCAGTTGAGGGGGGGGTCACGGTAACACAATAAATAAGTAAATAAAATTCAAATTACTACAAAAAATAAATTACTAAATACCTAACATAATAATTATAACATGTTCAAAGTCACAGTCCGCAAATCAGTCCGCAAATCAAATTTCTCGACTACTGTATTCTTTGTTTGAAAGTTCTCAATGATGGAGCACACTGTGCATCCTCAGGTATGCTGTTCCAGATGGTAGCCCCAGACACAGCCAGAGATCTCTACAAACTTGCACTTACCGTAGTCCTCGTCCTCAAATGCTTGCAGCTTCGCCGGATCCCGTGGTATACCAACGTTGGGATTGAATCTAAAATGTGCAACACATCGTTTAACAGCGTTTACTACATTCTTTCCATCTCAACTTTTTTCATTCCAAATTACAAAGACTAACTTGTAACCTATATGTCTCAAGAATAAGCAGTATAGTATGTGTTAGGTTATTGTGCAATATAAAAAAAGTGTTACCCTGGCATCGTGTGTTGGGGCGAAGTAAACATTTCCGTCAGCTGGATCGTCTGAGGAACTTCGTATGCATGGTGGTAGAGAATTTCCTGAAATTTGTGAAATAAAAGATTGTTATGATGACAATAACAACTCCATAACTGAGAGGTTGTTGATCAAACCTTTTGACATTGTTACTCTACATTACAGATGACAGGCATCGGGCCTGACGTTTGGACTATATGAATGGCTTACCATCGCCTAACGTTTGAGATTTTGGAGCATAATTGCTGCCCTTCCCATGTTGTTCTAAGACCTTTCTATAAGACCATGTTTCTCCCACCTTCTCGTGTTTGGCCTTAGCGTTGCGCACCACGTGACCGTGTCGTGTTCTGGTGAACATGATGCCCTCTGGAGTGACCTTGCCTACGTAGGAAAGGTCATCTTCGCCTGCAGATCACGAGGATGAATTTGTTCATTAGAGCTTCTCAATTACAGAATCTGATGTAGTTGATAGATTCAAATACTACAAAAACGAGATGGTAGTTTCCTGATATCTTTGACAAGTTTCATACCTTCATGCCCAGTTTCTTTCACACTGTAGGACCAAGGTTTGCCGTGAGTCATGGTCTAAAAGATACAGACAAAATTTGGTGGTTAACATTTAACAAAATCGATATATACTAATAATATCTGATATAATTAGAAGGCATAATCGCAGAACGCGAAACGTTTTGCTACATACTCTTCTTGTTCCAGATTCTCGTCAATGTGTCATCCTTACCAGAACGGGCAGCGATCATTAGTGCTGAATGGTCATCCACAACATTATCTTCTTAATAGTTTTACTGCTTCATACTATACTTCATAACCTTAAAAAGTTACATCATGAAGACATTTGCTAGGTTTGAAAACAGCTGTAGCCATAACAGCTTGAGATTGTGGTGTAGGTTTTTTGCAAGAATATTACATACAACACAACATTTTGAGTGACTAAATACAGGATGATACAATGACTCTCACCTGAGGTGTAGTGTGCAGGCGCGCGGACAGAACGCCCACCAGGACCTTCTTGGTGCCCAACACGTGGTGATGCTCATCGTGAGGATGGTACACGCGCACTACCTCGCCGTTCTTCGTCACGGTGAACAGGAACCTGACAGGGGGCAGAAAAGAGATAAACAAACAAACAAACAAACAAACCTGACAGGGGACAGAAAAGAGATAAACAAACAAATGCTCGTGCGAGTGATTAGGAATGAGACAGTACCTTTTAGAGTAGTCCAGGTCATCAAAGACAGCCTGGTTTCCTGTGCGGGAGTACAAATGGTACATTGAATAATCTAAGATACAATGCCAGGGAATCAGACCATATAATGAATGAATACTACTGACAGTATTTTTTGTCAAGCTCAGTATAGTATTACAGCACAATACCTCTGTGTGTTAAAACATCACGTAATCGTACTGATATTGTTTAGAAAATCGCTAGAGTTTCCTTACCATCTCTTTGTGTTATCTCTTGTGCCACGTTGTTCACCACTAGATCGCAGATGGTGTTGTTCTCTTCATCATTACGTACCGGAATGACGCTAAACTGGAATAAAGATTGAGAAGGTTGAAATATCCTAATGACTCAACCACAATCTCAATATGTATTTACAGTGTTACAGAAGTACCGGCCTTCCTTCTAGGCATAGAGACTTGGACAAGAATGCATGGTAAAAACTAATAGATCTATCACCACAAAAGGAAATTCCACCTTATTGGTCGGTACAAAACTCAGGGCAAAGCAATAAATGCCAGAAAGGCAGGCGAGACATCTGTTTTCATCTGTCCCTGTTTTAAGCCAAGGTGCCAAAGATCAAAAGTGCGCATTATTTTGAAATCGGTAGTTATAAGATGTAAACATCTGAGACATTGCAATGCAATTTACCTATACATAATATTACTATGTTTTCTATTGGCACTTGGCCATGATACATGCACCCTCCTCGTGAAAAGAAAAACAACCTTTGTCCTAATCACACAAAGACAGACGCACGTTCTTGCTCTGAATGGCAGGACCTTTGTACGAACACGGAAGGTTGCTAGGGCGGAAAATGACGCCCTAATGAGCTGTAGGGCAAACTGCCAGACAAAGTCAACAATCGCGGGAAAAGTGAACTTTATCAGCGGGTTCAAACAACCACCAGTTAATGGTGAAATAGTGGACCTCTGCCAAGTCTATGTTTACAGAAGGTGACTCGTACTCTGATAAAGCACGGAGATATTAGGCAGACGTGTGTTGACAGCCACTCCGCAGAGTGGCAGACCTATCACCCTCTTGGTTGAAGTGTTGACATTGCATAATTGATTCTTTATCCGCAACTTTTCTTATCAGTACTATTTTCACTTCAGTCCCTCTGACGGAAATGGTGACTCAGATTTGATTCACAGTGAAACTCTCGATGAAACAGAGATCAGGCATTGCTAGCAACAAGGTGAAGTGTGTTACTCCGAAGGGCGGTTATACCCATTCGGCTATATACAGATACTGATACAGAAGTAAAGGAAATTTGCAGTCGCCTGCGTAGAAGCCAACCGATGATGATGACTGTGTTCAACTGTTGGCACTGTTTTTATTGCTTTCCCTGTGCAATTGCCATGTGAGTTGAGTGCTCGCCTTGCATTCGGTAGGTCAGGAGTTCGGTCCCCGGTCGAGTCATACCAAAAACTCAAAGTATAGGAGTTGAACACATACCACTACCAGTGGACTTGCCCCCTGCTGTAGTGATTGCAGCTGTGTGTGTGGCCAAGGGCAACTGAAACGGGCGCCGCCCTATGCATCACATTGATGCGGGAGGGAACTTAACTTTATCCCTGTCGATCCTTTATTGTTTCCATCTAGAGTCGTAGGCATATCTTTGCTTTGAAGAGGCAGGCAAGGTTGCTAAGGTGGAAAGACACCACTGATACCACTTCCCAGTGCTCAGTGCTTATCAGCGCTCATTTAAATCTCCCTACGTTGAAAACGAAGCCAAAGGTGCGAACTGTTATCAGTTAAAGAGCGTTGGCAGTCGGTTCCGCACGGAAACCTACGGTTGGTTCTCCTTATAATCAGCAGAAAAACATGTAAGTAACATACCACTTACATAGCGGCTAGATAGTGCAATTTGGAAGGAGGTGTAGGTATTGAATCGCAGTCACATCCACCGTGCGGTTGTTTTTGTGTCAAGCTTATGAGCGAAACTGAAACAGAACCGATCGTCAAGGGTTGGCCTCAGGCTTTTCTGTCACATAACAGTTGCTATTTTTTTTTGTATGTGCGAGAAGTCCACGACGGTCCCAAAAAGTCCTCATCTTGTTTTAAAACTTGTGAGAACAACAGTTAATGGTGCGTTTTCCTGTTTCCCAACCCCAACGACGGGTTGTTCGAAAAAGATTTTGCATGATTCACTTCTGCTTTTTCCGTGCCCTTTGGTATTGATTAGCTGGCCTTTTCTTACAGGTGGCTGAATTATGGATGGATAAGTTTCAAATGTCTGTAAAATGTTTCAAAGGTCAGCACAAAATACATGTATAGGACCTGTAATACTAAGACATTTGTTTCCTTATAGTACACAGAAAGACATGGGGCTCTTGAATACCACCTTGACGCTGTGCTGCCTGAGCATATTCTTGCTGATCATTTACTCGACTTTGTGGTAAGTTGAAATACCATTCTTTTTTTTATGACATTTAAAATTAGAGACCTTCATTTTTCACTTGTAGGGTAAGAAATATCATACCGGTGCTGTTGCTTTAAGTGTTGATAGTGATACAAGTTCTATTGAACATGATGTCTTGATAGTGTTCAAATTAAGTCTAAAACAAGTGAATTGCCGCTTGTTTGTAGCTAATTGCTTTTAAACTTTGTAAATTGGACGCAATTCAGCGGTCCCACTGCAATGTTCAATATACGTATCTTGAATCTTAAATTAAACAGATAGTTGATAATTGCTACATCCTGGTATTATCTTACTTCAACGCTAAAAAGATCTTAAGATTGGTGCCAAACACTCTGTGTTGACTTTCGTGATATACTCTCCCACAGTTCAGTGTCAGGCGCAGAAGACCAGACCGGTGCCAACGGCGCGTCGTCACCTTTCCGGACCGAGAAGGAAGCAAACGATTTCCTTGAGATGCCATCAAGACGAAAAAGGTCGCTTTACAAAGAGTGTTATATTGAAGGTTGTTCCTTCCACGAAGTCGACGAGGTCTTGAGCTACGAAGCATCGGTAAGGCGACCAAACTCACTCGATAAATTTGCTCAGTTTCTGACGCATTTTG